GTGTCTATAAGATGCCACGTACAGTCACAATCTCGGTGAGAAATGGGCTGTCGCCTCTTCTTCTGCAACTCAGTGCTCGACAAGACATCGGGGGAAAGCCAGTTCCTAATTTGTATGTGATGCAAGTAGGAACAAAATTAATGTTTTGCCTTTCCCTAGCAGTATTCTTACTCCTTTGCTTCATTTACCTCTTTCCTCCTTTCCTTTCCCCTCTTCCACCAAAAGAGCCTGAGACTCTCTCAGAACACTAGATTCAAATTACTTTAAAGGTTGGCTCATCCCCTTGAAATGATAGTGACATAAAAAAATATGTTCACATCCCAGACTTGACTCTATTTGGCTTACACACACACACACACACACAAACATCAGGCTACCTCCCACTTGCTGAGGGAGAAGGACCACTTTTTTCTGAGTTTTCATTTACTGAGCGTGAGAGCAAAGTCTCTTAAGCAGACTTTCTCCTGGCTTCATGCATGGTTTTTATTGGATATCTTTGTAGCCATAGAATTATTCTCCTATTAGAAGAGAGGAATTGGAGACATAGAGATTCTGCTGAGACATCGGTGTCATCATATTTGAGTTGGAAAGAACTTAAGACAGCATAGAGTCATAACTGTTCATGGGTGAGAATCCATGATGGTGTAACTTGGACAAGAACCTGGGTCTTCTGCCATCGTGTCCACACGGGTGAAGAGGCAAATGGGTGCTGGATGGCAGGGATCCTTCTTGCTTGAGTTCTTGCTAGTTTTCATTGCTCAGCTGCCTTTAGTTTATGTCAATGTGGCCTCTCATGGGAAGGTCACTCTGTCCTGATAGATTGAGTTTCTTATCAGCAAAAAGCTCTGGACCCACTCACATTTCCCAGAGTTTTTCTGCTGACCTGCTGACACTTTATGTAAATGAGACCAAGGAAAACTACTGGATATAAAATCCTTATTGTTATCATTTGCCCTCGAGTTCCATAGGAATGGGGTGCTGTCTCAGGCTGTCTAAGGCTAGATCTGAACAAAGATAGGGTGATAGGCGGTGCTGCTGGACCATCACAAGTGGAATGGGATTTCCACCTTAGTTTTTAGCACCAGGCAGACGAGTTCAAATCTTGCCTTTACCAGTTACTAGCTTTGTGACCTTGAGGAAGAAAGTTTACTTTTTTGTGCCCCATTTTCTTTATCTGTAAATAAGTTCAGTATTTATTTTAGAGTTTTTGTTTTAGAATTGAATGAGCTAATTCTCTCATTTATACCTAAAATACTGATCGCATGATTCTATGCTGGTGCCTTGGTAGTTGATTACTAAGGGGCTCGGCAGTGAGAATGGGGGTGGGGGACCCCTGGATCATAGAGCTTATATTCCAGGATATGCTTTTAAAAGACTGGATGTGCAGTGGAATTTTAGTAAATGTCTATTCTTTTCCTAATCCCCATTGATTGTGTATATATTTATACTAATTTATGAACTTTTTTGTTGCAATTTAATTCTCTTTGTAGTATTTAAAATATGTGGCTATAACAAAAATACGTGAAATAAAATGATTTGATTTTTATTTTCATTTCAATAAGCAAAACAAAAGAAAATAGAAAAGAAAGAAAGTTTTGAAGGACTAGAAATAATTTTATTTCCATGGAATCAAGTCTCTATATTAAGTTTTTCGGTTTTGTTGTTAAACGGCATGTAAAATTAATAGGTTGTGACTTCAGTGTTGATAGCTAGGTGAGTTTCTTGTTATTGTTGTCTTTGATGAATTATTTGCACTAGATCATAAATGATGTGCATGCTACATATTGGAAATGAGAAAACAGTGGAGACATACTACCTCCAATGTATTTTGTTACCGAGTCCAAACTCGTTCTGCTTGCCACATGACAGGCCAATAAATTGGGAGATGAGGTGTTGGGGTAAGGAATAGTGACTTTATTTGAAAAGCTGGCAGACCCAGAAGATGTCAGACTGATGTCCTGGAAAGCCCTCTTCCCCAGGTCAGAATTCAGGCTCCTTATATACTGAAAAGGGGAGGGGGTGTGGTTGGTTGTTGCAAACTTCTTGGTGTACGAATTGTTTGTCCTTGGTATCCTTTGTTCTTGCAGCTGTCCATGTGGGTCAAATCATGGTGTCCCTGTAAAACCTCCAACAAAACAAAGGTTATTCTCTATTTTGCAACTTGAAACTCTCTACATAAGTACAGAAGAGCTAACATCCTTAAAGATCAGAGCCCAGAGAATAGGCTCTCCTGGATAATTCAGGCTAAAGGCAACTTTCTTTCACAAAAGGTGCAGAGCTAACAAGTCTGAGCCTAGAAAACAGGGCAAAGGGTTAAAGCCAAAGGAACAGATCTAACACGGAGTCAGATTTCTTCTTTCCTATTACAATTTCTTTTTCAATCTCATAAATAATTTTAGTAAGAAACAAGCAATTTTGTATTTTTGCTTCTTAATAACCGATAAGTTTGCCGACTATATTTTTGTGAGCAGGGATGCTATGCGGGCCTTGGGGTCTCAGCAAACACCTGTTGAGGGTGGTTGACCCTGCAACATGTCTAATACCAACAGGAGTGTTGGTGAGGGTCCCCCCAGCCTGGGGCTCTATTTAGGAACCAACATATGGGCATTTACCTCTGGAGACCTCTTTTTCGGCTGCAGGAAATTTTTTCAGATACTGTGATTGAAAAATCACTCCAGCTGGGGATAATTAGGGAAAAAAGGAAGAGGAAAAGGGTTTGGAGTAGAGTAGAAGAGAAATGCAGAAGATCAGGGGGCCTGGGGGCTTGGCAGCAGGGCCTAGGGAGAGAGGGGAGCAGAGGTGGGGAGGGGCCCGGTTCCGAAACCAACTCCTGCACCTGTCCGCGTGCCCAAGCAAAACAGCTTTTAATTGGCCTGGGTCACTCTCCTGTCTGGATGTCACCCTGGGCAGAACCTTGAGAACTGAAGTTGAGGGGTGGACAGCATTCACCTAGGGGTCACTGAGGACTTTGGTCAAGTCCACAGTGCCATTTCTGGTCATGTGTCTTCACTTGTCCTTTATCTCAGGATCTGAGGAGCAGGAGCAAGGAACTCAGGGAGAGATCCAGGAAGATATCCGACTGTCGTTAAGAGAGGACAGACACAGTGACACGGGGAGCAAGGACTATTGCAGCAAAGTAAAATGATTTCACAACTATTGCATCAGAGCTGCAGGTGTGAGAGAGCCTAAGTCTGTCTTAGAGTGCAGGGGACAAGCGGAAAGGAATGGTAAAATTTCCACTGACAATTGAAATTTTGTAAAATAGCCTGCTACTGTTGGTTGTATTACTTGAATGAATGCAGATGTATTTCTGTGAGCATTTATAGGTTCACTCAACTCCACCAGCCCCTCTTGTCCCCATCAGGGATGGGTTTTCTCATGCACAGTGCCCCTCCTGCTTGGGTGGGCCATGCTTCGGGTCCTCGCCTGGGGCCGGACTGCTTAAGGACACTGAGTCCCCAAGGCACGGCCTGTGAGGAATGACAGGAACACCTCTGCTCTTGACTGGGGGCCTCCTTTTCCCCCTGCAGTGTAAGAATGCCAGTGACTCAGTTAGAAGCATACATCCAAGCCGTCCTTCCGTGTCCTCACCATCTAGATGCGAAGCCTGAATCTTCTGAATTTCTCCAGAAAGTGATTTACAATCACCTTCGACAAGTGAGTGTGTGTCCTCTTACAAGTGGAGGAATTACTGCCGTTTTCCTGGAACTTACTCACCATTAGTCCATCTGATGTTTCTGTGCTAGGATTCAGTATGGCATGCTAAAAATTCTGGAGTCAGATCTTAAAAATCCTGATGAAGAGGATTATTTTATTTCTTTATATGATAGTCTTTTACTTTCAAAATTCAGACTTTTTGGTTCTTTCAGGATTTTAGTGGGGGTTTGGAGAAACAACTTTGCTCTTTCCATCCTTGTGACCTGTTGCTTTATGCCTCTAACCCATCTTCTGTCACTTGTTAGGCGGTTCCATTTGTGACCCTGTCCAGGTTGTTCATATTATAAAACATAAAGTCTGTGAAAGTACAATTCCTTTTATTCCGAAGGCATTCCACAGATACTACTTAAATTTGGGTGTGGTTTTAAGAAGACAGAACTATTAGAACATGTACTTGCAGGTTGCTAGTGCAAAATCCCCAAATCAGAAGTCTAGCTAAATATCAAAAATCTTTCTAATCTACCTTGGATTTGTATGGATAAGTGAAGCAGTTTGCTAAGAACTCAAGACCAGGCTTAGAATACAGGCTGGTGTAGCTCAGCAGGTCCTCCCGAGCTGGCGCTGTGCCAGAGGGTGGGGCTGAGGGGAGAGAGCGTGTCCTGCCCTCCCTGAGCTGACAGTTTCATGGCAAAGACCTTCACCAGGTGAAGAACTTGGAGTTTCTTCTAAGAACAGTGGGTTTGAAAAGAGACTTAAAAGCACGGGAGTGACAGAATCCCATTTGTCTCAACTAGGGAAGAGCGGCTGTGGGGCCACTTGGGAGACTTGTTAGTCCAGG